TTCTATAATGTCTCTTGGGGTCATAGAGCCCAGGGGTATTTCAGAGTTTCTTTAGGACCCATGGGACTGTGGCTGAGGCCCAACTGCCCATCCTTGGGCTGCCTGGTATTGCAGGTGGAGAGTCTGGCTCAGCAGGCGACAGTGGCAACGCCCCTTGCCGTACCAGCACTGGATGGAGGTGAGCCCAGCCCCCTTGGGCCTGGGGAACTGGAAGGTCTTTTCTTCCCTGAGGAGGTGAAGGAAAAGGAGGAGGATGAAGACAAACAGAAGGTATGTGGTCCTGGAACCCTGCCCTAGAACTCTTAGATCTTCCCATCTTGTTATGAAGTGTGGAAGGCTGGGAGACAGCCCCCCTGTGTCCCAAGCTGAGTTTCTGCCCTCCCCACTAGGATGACAATCCCCCACAGAAATGGCCTGAGTGCAGCCAAGGTCTTCCCCTGGTTCCCTCCACTCACAGTAAGTCAGGGTCTGTGGGGAGGGGGAGTTAACCAGGCCCGGCTGAAAGTTCTCCATTAGATCTGGGAACCAACCTGGACACGTGGACACATTCGTTCAGTCTTGTGCTAGGAACTCCCTCACCCTTGATTAAGCCAGCCCAGGCCCTCCGTGCAATTTGCAGGTTGGGGTCTGCTACGGTCAGCATGAAACAGGACTTGAGCAGACCAGGATCCGGACACTGTCTCCATTCGCCCCCTCCGCCCCTTTCTCTACCCCCAGGATGCGCATGCTTGGCGGCCGCGCAGAGCTGCGCTGCTCGGGGCCGCGCTCAGCACCACGGACAGCGGTGGGGGGGAGGGGCAGGGGGCGGGCGGCATAGCCGGGCCCCTCCCCGCACCCTGGGCGGGTCCCCGGCTGCCCTAGCTCCGCTGCCACCACCACCTCCCCGGGTTTGCTGCTCGGTGCTCCTCTGGTGCTTTCCCCTTAGGTGCTGCTGAGGAACCGGAGCCCGAGCTGGCGGCTCCGGGGGAAGATGCGGAGCCGCAGGCGGGGCCTTCTGCGCGTGGCTCTCCGAGCCCCGCCACTCCCGGACCCCAGGCCGGCCTACTGCCTCGCATGGACCTGCCACCCGCTGGACAGCCCCTGCGCCATCCGACCCGGGCCCGGCCGCGGCCACGGCGCCAGCACCACCACCGGCCACCACCGGGGGGCCCCCAGGTGAGCGCCCTTCCCCCACTCTAGAGCTCGTGGAATTAGGGGGGGTCACAGGGGCTTTTCCGCTTCTCAGGAGAGGTGGCAGCTAGGGAGGTGGGTTTTAGGGGCCCAAGACCACCTGGTCGTACTGCCGTGCCTTGGTTTATTTCTGGCGTTTCCTCAGGCCATTGTCATGCAGGGTCATGAGTGTGTGGATTTCACTGGGGGTACATCTCAGTTTTAGGACTGCATCTTGGGTTGGCCCTCTGCAGGGACGGATTTGTGAGGGAGGGTGTCCATCTTCTCCTCCTCCTACCAGGGTTACTGACTGATGCGGGGCCCCAGGCTTTGGGGACAGTCCTGCATCAACCGCAGGTCCAGTGGGTATTTACCTGGGGAGATGTGTGTGTGCTGGGTGCGGGTGGGGGCAGTGGGCACGGGGCAGAAGGCAGAGAGTCAGCTTGAGGCCCCCCAGAGGGTCTGACGCAGCAGCAGGCGCCGCCGAGCTGCCAGCAGGCCGGGTGGGGTGGGGGTGGAGGGTACTGCGGGGAACTGTTTGGAGCAGAGGGGGTGGCAAGTGGGAATGTGTGACCCAGGGGGCCAGTGGGTTCTCGCCTGTTGGTTCAGGGTGTGTAGGATACTCCATGGGACAAGGTGTGGGCTGGGTGTGTGTCCAGGGGCAACCACTGGTGAGGAGATACGTGAAACCAGCATTTCTGCCCACCACGTCGACAGCAAGAATGTCTGTCAGTAGCCCTTTAGGGTGACTCCAGCTGCCCAGTCCGGGAGTTGCCCAGGCCAGGCTGTTGGACAACGGGTGGAAAGAATTCATGGTTGTGCACAGCCCTGACTCTATGGTGTCCCCCAGGTGCCCCCAGCCCTGCCGCAGGAAGGGAATGGGCTCAGTGCCCGCGTGGACGAGGGCGTGGAGGAATTCTTCTCCAAAAGGCTGATCCAGCAGGATCGCCTGTGAGTGAGGGGCAGCTATAGGGGGTGGGAGAGGGTGGGATGTTCCATGGGCCTTCCTACTCAATGCTGGCTGTTCCCACAGCTGGGTCCCTGAAGAAGACCCGGCCAACGAGGGGGGTGCCACCCCTGTTCCTCGTACACTGCGAAAGAAGCTGGGTACCCTCTTTGCCTTCAAGAAGCCTCGTTCAACACGGGGGTCACGGCCTGATCTAGAGACCAGTCCTGGGGCAGCTCCGCGCACTCGGAAGGCTACACTTGGAGACCTGTTGCGGCCACCAGCCCGTCCCGGCCGTGGTGAGGAGTCTGGTGGGGCTGAGGGGGGCACCAGCAGCCCTGACCCTACTCGTAGGAGCCGGCCTCGCTACACTCGGGAAAGCAAAGCCTATTCCATGATACTCTTACCTGCCGAGGAGGAGGAGGAGGAAACCCTGGGTACTAGACCTGACAAGGTAAGCCTGGTGACAAGGGGTGAGGGCTCTGCTAGGACTGAGGTGGTGGGCTCTCTCCCCATTTGGGCTTCTGTCCTCAGCGACGGCCCCTGGAGCGGGGGGAGACAGAGCTGGCCCCATCCTTTGAACAGCGGGTACAAGTGATGCTCCAGAGGATTGGCGTGAGCAGAGGCAGCGGGAGTGCCGAAGGCAAGAGGAAGCAAGTAAGTTGGGAGGGACACAAGTGCAAAGTGAGGGGGCAGGTGACATGTGTCTTGTGGCAGTCTGTGGGTGACATATGTGACCAGAAGGAGACTCATGACAGCTCTATCAGGTCCACCCCCTCCTCCTCAAAATAGTTCTCAGCTTCAGCCTTTCCTCCTTCACGGCTTCTGCCCTGGCCACTGCTACCTCTTCCTTGGAGCTGGGATGGTCCTTCCTCTGTAGATTGAACAGAACCCAGACCTTGTCACCTGCATTTAAAACAGCAAATCTGGGTGCCTGGATAGCTCAGTGGGTTAAAGCCTCTGCCTTTGGCTCAGGTCATGATCCCAGGGTCCTGGGATCAAGCCCTGCATCGGGCTATCTGCTGGGCGGGGAGCCTGCTTCCCCCTCTCTGCCTGCCTCTCTACTTGTGATCTCTGTCAAACAGATAAATAAAATCTAAAAAATAAATAAAATAGCAAATCCTCCAGGAACATCCTCTCGGGACACTGCCCTGCCTCCTAGTCCTGCCCTAAGGCCTCAGCCCCAGTCATTTCCTTCATCTCACCGTGCTGCACCCGGTGCAGCTCAGTGCCTCGTAACATAGTCCTCCGTTGGGAGCTACTTTCAGCCTCTCCTCACCACCCATGGGTTACATCGGCTTCCTCTTCACCCATCCCGGCATCTCCTGGTGGACATGTACTGGCAGTTGCTAGAATGAGGGCAGGACTGGACTGAGTATGACTTCCCTGTTTCCTACAGAGCAAGGACGGAGAGATCAAGAAGGCTGGCTCGGATGGTAAGTGGGACCCTTTGCTTGGGCAGTACAGCTTTGGTGAGGGAGTTGACCTTAGAGGTAGTCTCAAGGCACTGGCTCTCCTGGGGGAAAAGGCAAAGAGGCCAGGTTTTCTTTCCCCTCATTCCCAAGGGCTGGTGCCTGAACCCCCAGCCCCACCTTGCAGGTGATATTATGGACAGCTCCGCCGAGGCCCCTCCCATCTCGATCAAGTCCCGCACCCACTCTGTGTCTGCTGGTGAGTAAGGGTAGGTGAAAGGGTAGGCGGGGTGTGTGTGTGTGTGTGTGTGTGTGTCTGTCTCTCTCTCTCTCTCAGACTACAGTTAGGCTTATACCATTCTCCTTGCAGACCCCTCGTGCAGACCTAGTCCAGGAGGTCAAGGGCTTGAGTCTACTAGCTGGAAGACACTGGGGCAGCAGCTGAATGCAGAGCTTAGGGGCCGTGGCTGGGGCCAACAGGATGGTCCTGGGCCCCCCTCTCCTTGTCCCAGCCCCAGCCCGCGAAGAGCCAGCCCCTCCCCAGACAGCCTGGGTCTCCCGGAGGACCCTTGCTTGGGCCCCAGGAATGAAGGTAAGTGGGCACCCTAGGCCCCACTCCAATATGGGGCTGGGGACCCTGACAAGGGGGAGGCAGGGGCTGGGGTGGGGGTAGCTGTCCAGAACATACCCTGATATCCTGGCCTCCCCTAGATGGCCAGCTGAGGCCGAGGCCTCTCTCAGCAGGGCGACGAGCAGTGTCTGTGCATGAGGACCAGCTCCAGGCCCCTGTTGGTGAGGGGGGACATCTCCCTGTGTGCTTGAGTGCAGGAGATGGGGGAGGGTAGACTCCAGGGCTCCCTTGGTGGCTCTGGTCTTTATCTGGAGGGGGCTACCAGTGATGTTAAGGGTTTGAGAAATCAAGGAGCCAGAAGGCCTGGAGCAAGGGTCTGACAAACCCTGCCTCCTAGCCCTGTCTCCACCTACAGAAGAGCAGCTTTTGCCCCGGGGGCGGGGGGGGGGTTGTGTGTGTGGCAGGGGAGGAGGGAGGCACTGAAGCCAACAGTGTGAGCTCTGGAACTCACACGCTGGAGGTGGTGGAGACTGCATGGGAACAGGCAGCAAGTCCCTAGCAATATGGCTCCCACCTGCCAAGTCTTTATGTCTCTCAGAACGGCCCCTGCGGCTGCAGCGCTCCCCTGTCCTCAAGCGGAGACCAAAGCTTGAGGCACCTTCATCTCCAAGCCTAGGTAAGAGAAGGCTGGGGCCAGCTGGGAATGGGGGCAGGACAGCTTGGTCCAGTCTTGACCCCCTCCCCTCCCTTTTTCCTTCCCTTGCAGGATCTGGCCTTGGAGCCCAACCTCTGCCCCCACAGTCTACAGAGCCCTCCAGCCCTGAGCCAAACCCACCCTCCCCAGCCACAGACCAAAGAGGCGGCGGCCCCAACCCCTGACCCTCTCCTTTTCCTGCCGCATGAGATTATTTTATTAAAAAACTCAAAGGAGCAGAGCGTGGAGCACCGTTTGTCTATCCCAGGCCTGGATCTGTGTGCATATATCCTCCCCCATGATCCCTCACACCTGGGTTAGCTGAGAATCCGGCGGTGGTTCCATCAGAAAGTGCAAGGCCCAGGCCACGAGCTGGGGAGGGAGCCTGGGAAGAGAACCATGGCTGTAGGTCAATGGGGACAGGGACTGGTGACTGAAAGGGTAGGGCAGCCCTAGGCACTCACCTGATGGCTTGGACCTGGGCACAGAGGGAGGTGCAGGGAGGCTCATACCCATATTGGAAGGCAGAACCATCACGATGCCGCTTTGGAGGGTCCTGAAGGTGGTGTGATATCAGGAGAGGGGCCAATAAAGACCCCTAACCCCATCTAAGGCAACCCCTCCACCCCTACTCCCAGCTCCACTCAAGGTCTATCCCACTCTACTATCCATGTATGCTCACCCAAACAGGGCTGGACTCCAGGGCTCCCGGGGTGCTTTTTGTCCTTGGAGAGTGCTGCCAGTTCTTGGGGGGCAACCCTTGCTCCTTGAATTCCAGGCTAGGTTTCTGGGCCCTAGTCACAGTGGCCTGATGTGGACTGGGTACATAGCCAAGGGGTGACAGAGTTGGGGTGCAGCTCAGGAGTGGGGAACTGGGAACATGGCTAGGGTGTGGGGAGCCAGGGGGCAAGGGGCCAGGGGCTGAACAGATGGCTGGTACAGCCTGGGCGCTGCCCTTTTGCACTGGGTCTGAAGCAGCCAAGGACAGGGAAGGCAGAAGGCTGATGCTGGCACCGCTTTCCTCTGAGGACACGTGGCTGGATAAAGCTGGAGTTCCTGGGAAGGAGGGGACTGACTGTGGGCACAGCCCTCTCAGCTCAGTAGCCCATGAGTTTAGGCAGGCCTACAGGGACTGTGTTCATCCCCTACCTGGGTGTGCAACCTTTTGCAGCAGCCTGGGAACCTGGGTGATAGCAGTGAATGGCTGTGGCCTGAGCAACCCCTTACCTGAGGAAGTAGGCGAGGAAGGAGAAATGAGGGTCAGCGATAGGTCCTGCAAACCTGGGTCTGGTGGAGGCAGCTCAGGGCCTGAAGGTCAGGGGGAGCTTATTAGCAGTGTGGGTACTGGGCCCCCAGATACCCTCCTCTTCCCTTCTCCAGTCCTCCACACCTGGTGCTCTCTGACCTGGGCGCAGAGAGCTCAGAACTCGCTGGTCATTGTCAGAGATGTGCAGCCATGAGCTGAGGACAGTGTACACAGCTTCTCCCTGTGGGGCATAAACTCTTAGCACAGCCCTTGCTCAACTCCTCACCCTGACATTTCCCAAGGGAAGCCCCAGACTGACCGTGGCCCTATGGCAGGAGGAGGTCCAGCGGGTGAGGGGGCGTGCTGTGCAAGGGCCTGCCAGCATCAGACAGCTCTCAGCCAGATGCACTAGCGCCCCCCGATGCTCCTGGTCCTCTTGCACTTCATCCAGAAGTTGGGACAGTGAAAGTCCTAAAGGCAGGGGACGAGAGGATGGGCCAAAACTTAAGGGAAGGGTGGGTAGAGAGAAGAGCTTACTAAGGAAGCAAAAGACAGTGACCGAGGATGTCATTCTATGGGCGTTAGGATCATTGGCCAAACACTATAAGTACCTGCACTGGGGGAGATGGACTCTGAAAGGTGCTCCCTATAGAAACAGAGAAAACAAGGCTGAGGAACAATCCTGAGGCCTGTCTACACAGATCTACCATCCCCTGACACAGCCACACTTGGCTGAAGAGCCCAATTCCATACTCACTCCAGACAGTCAAAGAGCTTTTTCTGCACATCCGGGTCCTGGTTGCTGGGGGGCGGGAGGAGAGTTGAGGCAATGTTGTTACTAGGGGCCTAAGCCCTCCCACTCAAAAGACCTGTACTAAAGGCAGACCTGATTAGGGAGAACAGCTGAGGGGGGGGCATCACTTACCAACCAATCACCCGTTCCCGGCGCTGCTCTGCAGGCAGCAGGCTGAAGCGATCCACCTGGAGGTAGAACTCTGCGGGCTGAAGGAATTCAGGGGCAGGTGACAGGAACTGTCACGGAGTCAGGCTCATTAACCCACCCAAGCCAGCCTCACCACTCACCGCGCCACCTTCGGCGACTTGGACGCGGACCCCACAGTCCTGCAGCAGCAGCAGCCGGCCTTCAGTCCCTCGGAAGCCGAACTCTTTCTCCTCCCTGCCACAAGCACGACCATCACCGCCTTAGCCCGCTCAAACACAGCCCTGCCCGCTTGCGGCCCCGCGCACCTCCGGCTGAGGCCTCGCGTTCTCTCACTAGACTCGGATTTCCCCAGGCCTCGCGCCGCGTCTCTCACCAGTCCGAGGCGTTCAGGGCCTCCCGCGTCACTAGGCACCGGACACTGTGCGTCCCGTCAGACACAAGGAGCGCCGCTGCGACGTCAGAGGGGTCAGAGGCGTGGGACGGGCCCGGAGCGTCGGCCTCCTGTAACACCTTACGGCGTCGACTGGCGTCAAATCCACCACCCTCGGGCTCTAGCCACCGCCCTCGGGCTTTGCCTTTCTCCGAGCCCTGAGAAGTGGGGAGGGCTCACCTCGAGCAGCTGCCCCGCCTGCGGACTTGAGAGTGCATCTGACCCCAGGACCAGGTCTCGAATCCAAGGCCGCAGGACCAAACTCCCCAAGCCTGCCATTTCCGCAGCAGCCCCTAGCAGAAAACCACCATCCCGTGTTTCCCGCGGACGCCGGGGCCCCGCCTCTCGTCGGAAGAGGAAGCGCACAGTGGCTGGGCGGGACCTAAGGTCGTGGCCCCGCCCATAAGCGTGCCAGCGCGTGCGCACGACTCAGTGTTGTTCCGCGCACTCTTGGGTAGAGTGGGTGCCCACCTACTTGGTTTTACCCTGGTGTCTCCGAGAAGCGGCCTGGCGTTCGGGCTGTTTGTTGAGATTACCATGCCACCGGGAAGGATGGAGAGGGAGGGATCTGGGGCTTGAGGCTGCGATCAAGAGTGGTCAAGCGAGTTGGCTCAAAAACACTTCAACACCTTGTGAACCCGCGGAGCTCAGCAAATTTTTATCGCTTTTTCCTCTTCTAAAACGTGCAGTCATCTAACGTTATAAGGCCAATGGAAATAATAATACACAGACAACAGTCAATAAATATCACTTCCCTCACCCTCCCCTTGGATTGGCCAAACCCCTCCCCCAGACTCCAGAGATTCGCGCGCCGTAGCGTAATGACGTAAGAGCACGCCAATACGCCTCCGCCCCCATCTCCGTTTCCTAGGAAACGTGGACTCCGCGTTCCACTCTCTGTCGCTGCCCCCTTGACGTCATGGTCCGGATGGGAGGGCGGGGCGAGTGCTACCGTCAGGGGCGGGGCGGCACGAGCCGGCCTGCCGGGGCTGTGCACCTGCGCCTCTGCGGGCCGCCTGGGGCACCGTCCCCGGCCCGCCCGGCCCCACCATGGCCAGGCAGCAGAGGACTCCGGCGCGCAGTCCCGACAACATCGTCGAGGTGAAGAGCAAAGTAAGGGCCCCTCTGGCCCCGGCTCCGGCCTCGGCCCTAGGCGCTTCCAATTCCCTTATTCTCCCCTTTCCTAGCTTTAGTCCCCACCACCTTTTTTCTCACCTCCATCATTCATGTCCCATTCTCCGGCCTTTCCTTTCGCCTTCCTCCATCCATCTTCTTTCCACTGCCGGCATCTAAAGTCCCTCTGTGGCCTTGTTACCTGGAGGGCGGGGAGAAGACCTTGGACAGCATCCCTTGTACTGGAGCTGAGGTCTGGGCGCAAGGCTGCAGCCTTAGCGACAGCCTTTTCCGACCTCTAACACCCTCGGGCCCATGGTGGGAAAGGGCACGGGCTCCGTCCTGACCCCTCCTTTCACCCACCCCCTGCCTCCAGTTTGATGCTGAGTTCCGACGCTTCGCCCTGCCCCGCGCTTCGGTGAGTGGCTTCCAAGAGTTTTCGCGGTTGCTGCGTGCAGTGCACCAGATCCCAGGCCTGGACGTGCTGCTTGGCTATACAGATGCTCACGGCGACCTACTGCCCCTCACCAACGATGACAGCTTGCACCGGGCCCTGGCCACTGGGCCCCCACCGCTGCGCCTGCTAGTACAGAAGCGGGGTGAGGAGGATGGGGTACAGTGGGCAGCCTCTGTGGGGTAGAACACCAGGGCAGAGCTATAAGGGTTAGCCCATGCCCAGGTGTCCAGGCTTCATTCTCTGCAGTTCCTGCCCTTGGTCTGACCTCCAACTAGTGGGAAATAGTTACCATACCCCCTTTCCCAGGCCTGGGCATGAGGGAAAAGGGCCCATGTGGGAGAACAGGGTCTCTGATCTCAGCACACCCCCACCCCCCGCAGCAGAAGCTGACTCCAGTGGCCTGGCCTTCCCATCCAACTCTCTGCAGCGGCGCAAGAAAGGGCTTCTACTTCGGCCAGTGGCACCCCTGCGCACCCGGCCACCTCTGCTGATTAGCCTGCCCCAAGATTTCCGCCAGGTTTCTTCAGTCATAGATGTGGACCTACTGCCTGAGACCCACCGACGGGTGCGCCTGCACAAGCATGGCTCCGACCGCCCCCTGGGTTTCTACATCCGAGATGGCATGAGTGTACGTGTGGCTCCCCAGGGCCTGGAACGGGTTCCGGGCATCTTCATCTCCCGCCTGGTACGAGGGGGCCTGGCTGAGAGTACAGGGCTGCTGGCAGTCAGTGATGAGATCCTCGAGGTCAATGGTATTGAGGTGGCTGGGAAGACCTTGGACCAAGTGACGGACATGATGGTCGCCAATAGCCACAACCTCATTGTCACTGTCAAGCCAGCCAATCAGCGCAATAACGTGGTGCGTGGGGCATCTGCGCGTCTGACAGGGCCTCGCTCTGCTGGGCTTGGGCCTACTGAGGCTGATAGCGATGACGACAGCAGTGATCTGGTCATTGAGAACCGCCAGCCTCCCTGTTCCAATGGGCTGTCTCAGGGGCCTCCGTGCTGGGACCTGCGCCAGGGCCATCTACTTCCTGGTGCCCGCAGCTCTCTGCCCTCCCTGGATGATCAGGAGCAGGCCAGCTCTGGATGGGGGAGCAGCATGCGAGGAGATGGTAGTGGCTTTAGCCTCTGACAGGCAAGGATGCAGCCCCTCGCCACTCCAGGCTGCTGGGACATGGCAGGGACCTCCCCGGTGGGGGTTTCTAGCTTGCTCACAGAACCCTCTCAGTCTGGGGAACATTAAAGGTTTTCTACAAATGCAGTCATCGTCTTTCTGTGTCCCAGCCTTAATGTCCATTGTGGTCTCACGGTTTTGCCTTCTGCCATGGACACAAGGCAGGAGTGATAAGGATAACAGAGAGACCTTCCCGCAATTGAGCAGCAGGAGGGACACCAGGCTTGGCATTTCTAGGGTAAGAAAAGCTCTTACGGAAACAAACCTGTGTACAAAAAGTTTAATTTGGACAAAGGGATTAAGAGGCTGGGCTGGTCCTTCTACATCCACCAGTAGCTGGGAAGAGTGCTCTGGGGATACTGCCCACCCCACTCTCCTGTCTTGGAACTCCAGGCCATGATGGGGCCTCATCCTGCCTTTGCAACTGTGTGGCGATCCTCATTGAGGACCCACACAACTACCCCCATAAAAGGGCTCAGGCATCCATCTTCACGAAGACCTTGGGGCGGGAAAAGATCTTGATGGCTTCCTCTACCTGCACCAGCTTCCGGTCCAGCTCCGCACGGTGGCCCTGGGCCCTGAGTGAATCTGCCCCGGCAGGCAGCAGCACCAGCTCACGTAGCAACTGGCTCTGGCCTACAGGGGGCCCAGGGACAGTAAGTGCTGGGCAGGGGTGCATGGTCCCCACTAGGTTCCCCGTCCACTGCTCCGTATCCCTTGCCCACGAACTCACTCTGGAGCAGATTGCTCAGGGTCTCCAGCCGCTGATTCTCAGGCATGCAAGTGTGGCCTGGGGGCATGGCAGGGTCCGGCTGGCTCTGCTGGCGGGCCTCGGCCTCCCGCCGCCACAGATCCCTGCGTTCCAACAAGCTGCAGATGCACAGGCTCAGAGGTGATGGTCCCAGGGGCAGAGGTCATCTCCCACCCTCCACAGGCACCCCTCACCCTGGGTGTTGGGCAGTGGGACCTACTAATGAGGCACATGGCCCTTCTGCGTGGTGTTGTAGTGCTCCTGGGCTTGCCGCTGCTGCTCCAGCACTTGTGCCAGGACCTGCAGTGAGCGGGAATGCCTCCGGGGGGCCCTCTTGGCAGTGCGGGCATTGTGGCTAATGAAGTCCACACCCAGGCCTGGCCCCTGCAGGACACGGCAAGCAGGATGGGGCAGACAGCACTGTGATGTGCTCCTGGACCCCTCAAGATCGCTGCCCCCCTCCCCCAGCTCCCACACATCCTCTCACCTTAGCACTGGGGCCTGGTGGGGTTAGCTGAGGACTGGGGACACGGGGTGGTGGGAGCCCAGGGCCGCAGCGGGAGTGTGCCCGTAGGAAGTGGGCAGGCTCTGTTCCAGAGGCAGCGCTGGGCTCCTGGAGGGCAGGGCATAGCAGAGGAGTCAGGCAGGCTGAAGTCAGTCTTAGTCCACCCAAATGAGTGAGCTTCTGTTCCTTCTGCCTGTGAGGATATTTATCTCCAGCCCTATGGGCCTCTTCCCTTTTGAAGGAACACTTCTATCCATGAGCATTTAAGTATGTGGGTGTCTCACATCTTTAGGAAAACAACAAACCACCCCTCCTTCAACCTCAGTCCTGACTGTGGCTAAACCATTCCCTTTTTCTCTCCTTCCTGGCCAAGCTTCCTGGCTCTGTCCCCACCAAGGTCATTCACAGCTGGCCTTCAAGCCCTCAAATCCAGGGTCACTTCCCTGGGCTCACTGTCGTCAGCCTAATCCTCAATAACTCCTGGGTCTCTCTCTTCAGATCCAGACCTGACTCTCCATCTGTTTCCTGGGCATACTCCCAGCCCCCTAGGAGTCCCACAAATGCTTCAGTTTCAACAAATTTGCATATGACCTTACTGTCTTTCCTCTCTATCCTGTTCCTCCTTCTGAAGACTCTGGATAGAGAAATGGTACTACTGTCTACCAAAGAATCCCACCACTGTACCCCTGCCCTTCTCAACACCCGTAGAAATAAAGGGATCTTTTATGATGTGGGTCTGGCTGACTTCTCAGCCCAGCCTCATGCTCTTCTCCCCTGTACACAGCATACCACTGCCCACACTCCCTCTAGTCTTAGGACTTCTATCTATAAGGTTCCATCTCAGTAGAATGTTGTCTTCCATTCTCTCCTTGCCTAATTCCTACTTGCCCTTCAGGATTCTCCAGCCATCACCACTTCTGAGGAAACTCCCAGCCTGACCCTGCAGCACAATCAGCTATTTCTTAGCCCCTAGTACCCTAGTCCCCTGTGATTTTCACCCCTCTCCCTAACTCAGATTTGAGCATAACTGTCAGTCAACAGGATGAACAATGCTTGTGGCTCTCCAAGCCAGGTACCTGTAGCTGGGCCTTGACCCGGGACTCCACTCTGTCATATTTGGGCGAGTGCCACAGAGCCTTCAGGGGCCTGGGCTGTCCCTGCTCCCGGCTGCGCTCCTGCTCCTGGAAGCGCCTCTGGATCTCCCTGATCCGCTTCAGGTTCTCCTTCTCATGGTCTTTAGGGTCCTTCCCTGGGAAAAAGATGTTGCCAGACTCTACTCTACATACAGCCCAGGAGATCCAAGTCCCACCAGTTCAGACGTCAGCCTGCACCCTCCCTCCTACAGAAAGATTTCCCTGACCTCACCATCTAAGACAGTATACACATCACTACATTCCCTTCCTGACAATTACCTTCTTATGTCCTTGATTACTCTCTACATTTTTACTGTGAAGTACACCATGAATCACTTTGTATATTATATCCATCTCTTCACTTGTTTATTGTTTTTCTAGCACCTACAGAGCGGGCCGCAGTAGGCACTCTACACACAAGGTTTCGCTGATGCATGAATTCATTAAGCTGAGCTAGCGTTCCTGGGAACTACTTCATTCAGTCCTCTCCTGTGAGGAAGTAATGCATTTCTCCCTCCTTCTATAGTTGGAGAAAATGACACTCGGAGAGGCAAAGCCTGAGCCCAGATCTGGGAAGGAGAAGCAACGCTTTTGATCTCAGCGTTTGACCTCATACTCGCTTCAATGCCCCTTCGGTAGGAACTTACTCTTGGGAGAGGCCCCTGGGCCTAGGGAGATGCCCCCGAGTTGCAACAGCACTCCCCCGACGCCACGCCGGCCTCGCTCCAGGATCTCTCTGGCTCCAGGACCTATGCGGGGGCCACGCGAAGGGGTGGCGTCCAAGTCGAGGTCCGAAGTCAGCAGGTCCAGCTTCAGCGCATTTCCCTCAAGGCGTCCTTGGGCTGACAGGCCAGACAGGGTGGGGTGCGAAGCTCAGTAGTGGAGTAGAGCCAGAACCTCGCTTGGGCCTCGCCCCGCCGCGCCGCCCCATACCCAACTCACCAGAGGCCGGCCGCCGGTAGTAGTCAGGGCAGACCGTAGGGTCTGGGGGTATAGGCCCCGAGATGCGGGACGGGCCCTCACACATGCCGCCGTTGCTGCCCTGCAATGGTGCACCGAGGCCTGCTGGGCTGCGCATTTCCGGGCCCTGGCCCCTTCCTCAGCCCTGAACCCAGACCCTGACCCCGGCGTTGCCCTCCATTCCCGGTCCCCGCCGCGCAGCCCGACCCCGCCAGCCCTTGCCGCCTCCGCTCCTAACCCACTTCCCTGCCGGGTACGCGACCCCTTCCTCGAAACACTCGCGCAAGGAGCTCACCGGAGCAGTTTTGCCGCCGACTGCTGCAACCCCACGGGCTTGCTGTTGCCAGGCAACAGTAGTTTCCGTCCCTGAGGTCAGGGGCCACGGCCCCCTGGCGCAAAGCCTTCTGGGGCTTGTAGTTCCAGCTGAGAGTGGAGCAAAGCCACCGTCAGGTTCCCTTCCCACTCGCCTGTCCTTGCTGGCGGGTCTCTGGGGTCAGCGCCCGGTCCCCGGGGTCAGCGCCAGGTCCCCAAGGCCGGCCCCTCGCCGTCCTCCCCGCAAGCAACCTTCGAGGAGGCGGACCCAGGGCAGCCATGGCCTCAGCAGTGGCCGAGAGACGGCCAGGGGCCCAGGAGAAGACAGCCGCGGGGCCGGCACACCTCGCGGAGTTGTCCGGTGGCCACGCTCAGGGCTTTGAGGTGACCGTCAGGCTGTGTAGTCTTCAAACACTTGTCCACGGCGCTCTAGGAGGCCAAACTCTGTGCGACGCCTCCCCCTAACTGCCAGGACAAGCTCCACGGGGCAGGGAGGGACACGGGCTGGTGCCCTTCATCTGCATTTGGTTTCTCAGGTGTCTCATGACTGATCCCCTGTATCCTTTGCTTGGTGACCAGTTACCTATGTGTCACCTCTAGTGTCCAGTGATGGCTGACCCGTGCCTGGTACCAGCCTATGAGGCCTGCCGGACCGTGGGTGAAGACAAGTGCCCAACAGGACCCGTCTTAGAGCTGGAGGTCCAGGAGGAACAACTCAAGCTGGAGGAAGAGAGGCTTAAGCTAGAGGTGGAGTCACTAGAGGAGAGAGGCCCCAGGCCTACAGCCTCCATTGTGAGGGCCAGTCATGGTCCGAAGAGGAAGCCGGTCAAGTGAGCGAGTTTTCAGAGGGTCAGAGCTGCTGGTCTTCAGGAGGGAGGTGGGCGGGCTCACACTCATACAGAGTGCACCTTATCCCCTGCCACCACCATCATCCCTCTATCCCCCAGTTCCTGAAGAACCCTGGCATTGGGGGTGGGAGGAGGCATCCAGGGGAGGAGTCTCAAGGCCTTGTAGGGTACTGAGCTCAGAGAAGCTCTAGTCCCCTGTCCAGCCCAGAGCCTCACTGACCAGGAAGGGGACAAGAATCTAGGCCTCAGGTAGTGGACAGGCAGGGCTATTCCCTATGGTCAGGGCACAGGAGCCAAAGCTGGAGGCTGGCTCCTTAGGCCTCCTATCCCCCAGCCTCCCAGGGCCTAGCCACCAAGCCCATCCTAGGGCTGAAGCAGAGATGCCACACGGGCTGCCACTACAGAAGGAGGAATCAGAGAGTAGCCAGAGTGAGCCCTTACCATCTGCCAAACAGCACAAAAAAGCCAAGAAGCGCAAGAGTCTGGGGACCCCAGTGCTTCCAGCTCTGGCCAGCACGGTGTCTGCACCTTCAGAGACCTTGGGGCTGGAGCGTGAGTGGCAGCCCCTGGGCCTTCCCTTTTCCTCCTGCCTGATGGGACCCTGACATGGCACAGCTTGGTGTTCCAGCCACTGCCCTGACCCGGGTCTTTGCAGGAAAGGCCCAACGCCTGCGGCCCCTGTACCAGTACATCAACTATTGCAATCCGGAGCTGAATCAGGCAGGGGAGGGGGACAGGGAGGCTGAGGCAGAGATGGAGACTGAGCTGGAGCTGGCCCTGGTCCCCGCGGAAGCAGGTGTGGAGCAACTGCAGGCCTTGCTGCCTGTGGCAGGTGAGCTGGCCTCAGGCCTCACTTTGCCTTGTCCCAGTACACTGGTGTCCTCCACCCATGCTCTGGTTCCCCTGGGAGAGGAGGTGGGAGAGGAACCTGGGTGTGTGTCCAGGTCGGGGGTCAGCAGCCACCTCAAGGCTGAGGTGGATAAGTCAACCCAGGTGGACATTGACAAGATACTGAGTGTTTGCACCGCCCCACTTGTACCTCCACTCTCTCCTCAGTACAAGTGACTTTCCTGCCCCATCCCCCACCCCCGCCACTGGTGGCTCCCTTTCTCCTAAGTCTGAACCAGAGCAGCAGCCTAGGCCCTGGGTGGAGGGGAGAAGTTGGCCCTTCTCCCAACTTGGGACCTTGGACTTGCTGAAAATAAACATTTTTCCTTTTCTCAGACTTTGTGATTTCACAAATAAGATGTCTGAAGAGAGGCGGGGAAGGTGGGTGCAGGGTTTGAAGCCTGACTGATCATCTGGATCTTGACAAAAGTACAGGTTCTTGGGCACGACCCCAGACCTAACCAAATCAGAATCTGCAGGGGTGGAGCCTACTTTTGTGCATTTAAATGCTCCTCAGATGAACCTGAAGGTCAGACAGGATAACAGTGGGCATGTAGAGGGAGGTGCTGATAAGGAGAAACTTGGGGCAGAGAAAGGAAAGGGATGGCCAGGTCACAGCAAGTGCTTGGCTCTTCTCCCTGTCTCCCAGGGGAGCAGTCTGCATTTGGTCTGACCAGGAGGGTCCAACACTTAAGGTCCCCCATTGAGGTGTCCAAGTTCATCTGCCTACTGGAGGCCACGGCTGGACCAGACTTTGCCCTTAAGGTGGCCCCGCTAACAGAGGCATTGGTGCCTTTTTCTTGGCAGCCAGGGGGTAGTGGAGGATGTGAATGTTCTCCCTGAGCCTTGCAGACAAACCACTGGATAACCACAAATAGGCAAAAGCTTAAGCGGCAGCCAGTGCTGGACATTTTGGAAACCCTCGTATCCTGCTGCCTCCTGGTCCTCCTGCATGTCCTTCATATATCTTAAATGTAAGGATTTCCAAATTAAATGAGTAACTTTTCCCTCCAATCTGCTTTTTTCGCCATGTTTCATCTGCACAACTGTTCAAGCCAAAATCATGGGTGTCGCCCCAGAGCCCATCCTGTTCTTCGCTTATTCTTTACTCCTGCAAGCTAATCAGGCAGCAAATCTGGTGTATGTACCCTCTAGGCTGAGTCTCTCAGATCCTATGGTCAGCACCCCTGTCCTGGTACAGTTATCTTCAGGCGAGAGCACCCTACTGTCCCTGCTTGTGGTCCCCTGCCCGATGAATCCACCCAGTGATCCCGCTGCACACCCACCTGAACCCAATCTGTTACTTCCCTCCTAGCATCTTGCACCTCTTGCCCCAGCTGCCTTAAAACTTTTCAGTGGTGGGGCACCTGGGTGGCTCAGTGAGTTAAAGCCTCTGCCTTCGGCTCAGGTCATGATCCCAGGGTCCTGGGATCGAGCCCAGCATCCGGCTGTCCGCTCAGTGGGGAGCCTGCTTCCTCCTCTCTCTCTCTGCCTGCCTCTCTACCTACCTGTGATCTGTCTGTCAAATAAATAAATAAATATCTTTAAAAAAACAACAAAAAAAAAACTTTTCAGTGGCTTTAAGTCCCTGACCAGCCACATCTTTCTTTTACTCTCTCCACGTGGGGCTTCCCCTGCCTAAAATGCCTTTATTCCTTTACCCCTACACCTGGCTATTGCACTCTTACCTTGAAGACTTGGGGGAACTTTGCTTCTACCACCCAGGGTGTAGCATTTACATACCACTGCTGCTGTGGTTTGTTATAACTGTTTTCAGGACTAGGCTGTGAACTCCCCAAGAGCATATGTCATTGCATTGCGCCAACCTAGCAGAGGGCCCCCCCAAAAGGCACAAAGTTAAGGAGGCCAAGGTGGGGAGCTGAGGAAGCTGCAGAGAACAGGTCATCACTCCATCCAAAGTCCAGAACCATGTGGGGGACCCCTTGAATAATGGCCTGGCAAGATCATTGGGATAGGGTGGGCAGGCCCAGATGGAAGCAGGAAGAAAATCGGCATCGTCCCAGGTTGCTTCCACCTTTACAGGTCACTTGAAAGACCTGTATTATTCACTTTTTCTGCTCATACTTTATTATTATTATTTATTTATTTTTAATTATTTCTGCTCACACTTCTCCCCGGGTAGCAACCAGACCACCCCAGAAGATACTGTCCACAGGGACCAAACAGACCAAGTCTTGTCCATAGGGATGATTATGGATTCTGCAGGATTTTTCAGAGGTAAAGGGCTCTTTAACATAACTGAGCTTGGGGCACCTGGGTGGCTCAGTTAGCCAAGCATCTGCCTTTGGTTCAGGTCATGATCTCAGGGTCTTGGGATTGAGCCCCACATCGGGCTCCCTGCTTAGCAGGGGTTCTGTTTCTCCCTCTCTCTCTGCCCCTCACCCCGCTCATGATCTTTCTCATTCTGCTCTCTCAGATAAATAAAATCCTAAAAAAAAAAAAAAAAAGTTAACTGAGCTTGACTGTCTCACTTCATGGCTGAGGAAGCAGATGCCTTGAGATCACATGAGATCTTGGCTTCACATGAGATCACACCCCGGACACCAGGGAGACACTGTCCTTTCCTGAACCCTGCAGATCTGGACCTGAAGACTCTGGCTAAGGCCTGACCCAAGAAGGCCGAGTGTTTGCATTCTGTGTGGTGTCCAGAGCTGCAGGTATGAGCCAGGCCAGCACTGACGAGGAAGCTCTGTCCCTCCCTTCCAACAGGTCTTGTAGGAAATACTCAGAACTGATCTACATTTGCAGGTCTATTTCCTGACAGGTTTTTTCTAAGCAGGGTGGATTAGAGTAGCCACAGAAAGAACAAGTCACTACTATTGTTCCTAAAAGCTCACCTTAGGGGCGCCTGGGTGGCTCAGTCAGTTAAGTGTCTACCTTTGGCTCAGGTTATGATTCCAGGGTTCTGGGAACAAGCCCTGCATTAGGGTCCCTACAAGCAGGGAGTCTGCCTCTCCCTCAAAGAAATAAAGTCTTAAAAAATAAATAAGAGCTCACTCTAAGGGGGAAATGCTGAGTGTAATGCAAGGAGACAGGTGCCACAGAAGAGCAGAGGACCAACGCTGTGGGACCTCAGTGGTGGGAAGAGCTGCCATTTTGCCTAGGGAAGCAGTGGAGACAGCCCTCCAGCGAACTCCTGAAGGAGAGTTGGGGGGCCTTCCAAGCAGAGGTGCACCAGGGAAAAACCTTGCTTATGTGGAAGAAGTCAGCCCCATGCAGGAGGGCCCCCTCATTTAGCATGGCTTAAGCAGAGGCATGGCCCCCAGACCCGGGTGGGGAGTTCTGGGAGTGATGAGAAGGAGTGTAGGCAAGGAGGATCTTGGCCCGGCATTCTGGAGAGGTCACTTGGGCAGGAGTGAGAAGGGCAAAACGTGGAGGGGAGAAGGGACAGGGAGGTAAGGGGGGCTGCTAGGTTGACTGCTGTTTGGATGAGTATGAGGCCTACATTTGGTTGGGAGTTGAGAAATAAGCAATAGGTATTTGGAACTTCTTTTCTGGTTGCTCTCACAGAGAGCAAACTGCATTTCCAGCTGCTTGGAAAAATTTAATCTACTCTGCCCCCAGGAAGATCCTTGAGATTAGGGAGCTGGTCCTGGGAGGTAATGCTGCCTTCCTCCAGGAGGGGGTGCTGCGTGACAAGCCTGGATCTGAATGCAGACACAGTCACCCCTGAGGAGGAGAACCCAGCTGGTTTCCTCAGCCACAGGCCTCTGGGGGATCGCCATGGACCTATGCTCTGGGGAGTACCAACAGAGGACCCCAGGGTCCTCACAAAAGTAGCTCTACACCAAGCCCACTGCCACTTGCCTCAGGACTTCTGGGAACCTGTCTTTGTCAACAAGGGGTTTGCTGTGGAGCCCCATGAAACTTCAGTAGTGCCACTGTGGGTCAGCAACCTGGCTCTTCCTTAAGTAAGAGCACCTGAGTCATGTATGATGGACACTTGTGCTTTCTTAGTAAATACCCCAATTTAGGAAGGATCCCATCATCCTACTAACACACAGAGGGACTGACCTGGAGCTGAGCTGATCACCCCAGGAAGAAGAGAGCAGCCTCTTTCTTTTTCTTTAAAGTAGGCTCCTCACCCAGTATGGATCCCAATGCCAGGCTGGAACCCATAACCCCAAGACCAAGACCTGAGCTGAGATCAAGTGTCTGACACTCAACTGGCTGAGCCACCCAGGCACCCACCCACCCCTTTCTAAACTCTACTGGCATCCTGCCTTGTGGGCTCTCTGCAGTCTGCCTCCCGGCTGAGGCCTCACTGAAATTCCTGCTGCAGAGGGAAGGCAGTAACCTGGACGGGGGCCTGAGTGGGGAGGGGCAGCACCTGGGCACTCGGTCTCTGAGATCTGCAAGTGCTGGGGAAAGAGTAGTCTAGGGTCAGGCTCTGTAGTCAGATGACCCTGACCAGACTCCTTCCTGCTCCATCACTTGTAACTTATAGGAAGCAAGGAACTTTGCCCCTCTCTGCCTCAGTTTTCTGATCTGAATAATGAGAATTTTTGTAGTGGTACCCCATAGAGTGGTTTGGATATTAAATGAAGTAACACACATGAAGTGTCTTCCCCGGGAGGGAGGGGCAGGCAGCATGCAAGCAGCACACTCCCCGACACTAGCCGCTGCTGTGTTGTTGCACAAAGAAAAGGTTTAGAACCAGGACAACACATAGGAAAATCAGCCTGACAAATTCTAGAAAGGGTGCCAAGAGGAAGAGGGAGGCTTCCCTGAACCTTTCTTTCTCTGGCAAGGAGCCCAGGGCAAGGAAGAGAGAGGAAGTTTAGAGAAGGGAAGAGTTGGGTTTAGGCCTAATCTGGGAAGGCTGGCAGAGGAAACAAAGGGGTGCGTGTGTCCCTTCCCCCCACCCACCTCACCTCTGACATGGATAAAAGGCGGTCCCAGTGTAGACCAGTTAATAAAAGCAAGGCTGGGGCACCTGGGTGGCTCAGTGGGTTAAGCCTCTGCCTTCAGCTCAGGTCATGATCTCAGGATCCTGGGATCCAGCCCCGCATGGGGCTCTCTTCTCACTGGGAAGCCAGCTTCCCCCTCTCTCTACCTGCCTCTCTGCCTACTTGTGATCTCTGTCAATTAAATAAATAAAATCTTAAAAAAAGAAAAAAAGCAAAGCTGGTGACCGGCTCTCTGGGTCAGGCGGCCTTTGGCTATACCCACTCCATGGGGCAAGACATGGAGCCGTCCTCTAGTTCATTCCATCCAGGTTCCCTGAGAGCACTCCTCACTTCTCTCCCAGGGCTCTCCAGAACCAAATCCATGGTTGCGAGAACAGAACACTTCCTGACCTCCAGCCCAGGAGGGTCCCTAATTCTCCCTATCTCCCTGAGACGGCATGCATGACAAGCACAGGTTAGGAAGTCTCGAGTCCTGTTGTCTGAGAAAAGACTCTTCCCTGGAGGGTTCCTGGGATTCAGTTGCAAGGGATAAGCTCACTAGACTGTGATGGATCCAAAGCAGGCCAGAGCTGCTGTGGAGCCACAAGGAAAGAGAAAAACATAAACAATCTATAACAGTAAACAAGCCTTTCATGATTGAAGAAATCCAACTCACCAAACAAACCACCAGCAACTACATGACATAGTGTCAGACTTTCTGGTTTATTTACGAACATTTATCAGATATTCCAGAACCCTCCCTATCTCCTCTCTGCCAAGTCACAGGCCCTTTTGCCCCAGGTCAACAGCCCCTGAGAGCTTACCTAATGAACAACCCCTCCTCCCTGCCAGGGAAGGGGCAGCCTAGAGGCTGGAAGGGCCTGGTCACACAGGAAGGACGACAGGTGCGGATCCCTGAGGGATGACTGGATGCCCTCACCATTCCTGAGATGCCCTAGCCCAGGAAGGGCATGAAAACAAGGCTTCTTGTCATGTTTCCTCAGGTGAGGAACCAGCCAAGCTGGGTTCTTGCCATGCTTCCTCACCTAGTTAGGACCACCAATTGGCGAAGGCAGCCTCCAACCCGCTTCACTGTGCTGGCCCTCAGCTACATCAGCACCCTGCAAGTGTGAGGAGTAGATGAGCAGTGGAGGGGGTGTTTTCCCAGGGCCACCTTGGCTTTCACCTGGGCCCTGCCCAAGTTCACTGGTGAAATGAAAGACACTGTCTGTGCTCCGGCCGAGCCCTCCCGCCTCAGCTTCTGGTCCCCCCTGCCACTGGCCCCTCCGCCCCGGGGGGGCAGGGAGCCCACACGCAGGCTCACAGGTTATTCCGCTGGAGCGCCTCACAGAGGTTCTGGTTGGCATCAGGTTCTTCCGTCAGCACCTCCACAGCCTCCCACTCCCCGGATCTGCTTGACCTTTTGATGGCATCCACCACACTCTGCATGTACAGCCCATCCTCGAACGAGGCGGCCATCGAGACAGGGGTGTGGTCCCAGGTGCGGCGGTCCCCCTGCCCCTGGAAGGACTGGCGCAGGGCCTGCACCATGTAGACCATGCCCTTCAGGTAGAGCAGCGGGACATCCTGGGGCCCCTGCTCGGGCAGCCCTGCCCCTACAGCCAGCGAGTCCCTCAAGAGCAGCTCCTCTTGCGTGGCAGAGTTCTTTTGCCCGTAGAGGTCCGCTCCTCGGGCAACGAGGCGTCCTGCAGAGCCCACCACCATGACCTCATGCACAAAGGCGCCTGGCATGTTGAAGTTAAGTGTTACTGTGCTGCACACCCCCCCGCCCATGAGCATCTGGAAGAAGCAGAAGTCATCACTGGTGACATGGCGGATGCCACGGATGGCTGCGTTCTGCCTCACGAAGGTCTTGAGCAGCCCGTGTACCTTCTCGGCTCTCCGGCCGGTAAGGTGGGTCAGCAGGTCCACAATGTAGGTGCCCATGGTATGCAGGCCCCCACCACCCATGAGCTCGTCACAGATCCAGCCATAGTTGGGGCTGAGCAGGCTGCCTGAGTAGATGCGGGCATCGCAGATCATTACTGCGCCCACGTAGTGCTCCGCGATCAGCTGCTTCATGCGCACAAAGGCAGGCAGGAAGCGCAGCACGTTCCCCACCAGGCTCATCAGCTGTGGGTAGTAGCGTGAGGCGGTCACCATCCGGAAGGCATCCACTGAGGTTGCTGCCTTCTCACAAACCACATTCTTCCCAATACCTAAGAACAAAACACACCAGAAAATCTCAAAGTTCCAAGAGATTTATACTGGGGGGAAAATCTTTTCCTGAAGGCACATGAGCTCTGAAAAGCCTCCTATTATCAGATGGTGGCCTGGGACAAGAGGAAAGGTGATGGCTTGGATAAAAATGGTACACTGTGACTGGGACTGAAGAACAAGTTATAGGCTGGAGAAAGACAAGTAAATCCTTAAGGGAAAATGAAAGTAGAGGCAGAAGGTGCAAACCAGGAATCGGAAATAAACAGAGGAGGTATGGTGGGTAATTTTACATGCCAACCTGGTTAGGCTGTGGTGTCCAGCAAAAACCAGCCTGGACACTGTTGGGAAGGTTTTCTTTTCTTTTTTTTTTTTTTTTTTTGGTGTGATTAGCATTTAAACCAGTAGATTTTGAGTATATCAGATCACCCTCCACAATCTGAGTGGGCCTCATAATCATTTGAAGGTCTTAGGCAAAAAGACTGAGGCTCCATGGAGAGGAAGGAATTCTGCCTCCAGACTCAATTCTGCAACATCAGCTGTTGCTGGAATTTCCATCCTCTTGTCCTGCTCTGCAGATTTCAGATCTGTCAGCTCCTACAATCACATGAGCTGATTCCTTAAAATAAATTTCTCCCACTCTCTATATACCTTCATTGGTCCTGTTTCTCTGGAGAACACTACCTAATATATGTGGGCTGGAGAGATGGACATGCCTATGTACTTTCATACATTTATTAGATCAGCTTGGGGCAAAAGTATCTAATCTCTATTTTAGGGGACAGGCTTTGACCTCTCAGTTTTAACTACAGAAAGATTGTTCCAAAGATTGTTCTCTGAAAACACTAGTCCAACAAGTTAGTGTAGTCAAAAGGTCAGAAAATGTTTGGTCGGCTCTAGTAGCAAGAGAAAGGGAATAAAAATATTCCTTCTGTCCTAATGACTGCTCTGATTATACTATAGCTGGGATGTACTGAGAGAGCAAAACAAGGCTAGAAAAAGGCCTGGTTAGAGAGAGCTAGAAGACTGAGCAGCCTCCATATTAGGAAGCCGAAAGAATCAATACTCTTCCATGTTTTAAGATGAAAGCTCATGAGGGTATGAGTAGTCAAAAGACACCAACACCAGGATACTCCTGTGAGCTTGGGGTGGTTCGAATGGAAGTCCCATGTTAATACCTCCACAGATGCAGGGGTGGGGGCAAAGCAAAGGGGAGGTCCTTGCACTCAGGTCTGGCAGGAGGGCGCCCTACAAGAAGAGTAGCACCTGACTGCTATTATCATCTGCTCTTAAGTCTCCAAAACTTCCCTACATACATGGATTTTAGGGTTAGGGACTGGAGAATCACAATCCTGGGTGACAATTTGGCCACGTGGCTACAGAACATATATGGCTGACCAGGGAAATAATGAGGAAATTAGATTCTCAGACACAAACACCCCATCTGAGGGCTGCAGCTCTGACCAACCCAGAAACTACTTCTAACTTACTCACGGTAGGGATTGAGTGGACACTGCAGCATGGAGCAGAGGGGAGACAGGTGGGGGGAAAAGAACTTTTGTGGCTGCCGGGAGTTTGGTGATGATAAAACCAGGATAAGGAATCTCCATTGCAGGTCAAGAGAGGTCAGGGAAGGAGGAGAGACCTCCCATCTTGAGCCCGAACAACTGGAATGCTTTTGAACGTAGGACCGCGTAGTATTATCGGTATGGGAGTTAAAGGCCATCTTGAATTAAACAGGTTCCTGCAGGTCAACTACACATGATCTTTAACTTTAGAGAACCTGGGTTGCCCTGAAAGACATATTTATTTAAGTTATCTAGCATTCCTGCTAGGAAGCCAAAGGAGAGATTAGAGAAGCTAGGGACTGCTTTTTCTTAACAGGGAGTGGGAAAAGCATAGATGCTGAATGCTTATTAGCTCATATTTTTTGGAGTGTGAATAAATTTCAAGCTAAAACCCTTTCTCCAGCACACATTCCCAGATTTCTCAGGATTGAGGTGCCAGTGAACAGCAGAGGCCCAGTGAGGCTGCCCCAGAATATCTCTTTGTTCCCTATTAACACAGCACCGGTTCAGAGCTCTAGGACCACGGCACCCCGGTTAGCCCACCTAGAGACATGGGACTAGAGAAAGGAGACTTCAAACACTAGGCAGAGAAGTAGCTCAGGAAGAGCACCACTTTTCCGTGCTCCCTAAATCCAGGAAGTCTACTTTGGTGGCGGGGGCAAGGGGTGGGTGTACAAAAATGTTTCTTCTACTAGAAAAACAAAGTTGAAAGCCACAAGACTGAATGACTCTTGTCTCCTCTTTCTCAGGTCACTGGCCCCATTAGCCCCCTGGGTCACACCAGACTGGGGGAGCATGAGCAGAATTTGTGTGCCAGGCCCTGTGCCATGCCCTGGGGACACAGCATTGAGTTTGGTCTTTACTTTCAGAGGACTTAAGGTTTAGTGGGAGAGGTAGCTATTAATCAGATTACCATATAAATACATGTAGAACTGTACTTGTTGTAAATGCAGTGAAGATGAAATAAATGGTAAAATGAGAACATATACCAGGAACCTGAACTTGACTGGGCAGGGAATCAGAGAAGACGTCCCCAGGGACCAGGATTCCAGAGATTAAATTATTTGGGCTCTTTGAAGAACAATATCTTTTTATCTCACAAGCCCATAGGAAAAAGTTGGCAAATTCAGTGTTTTTCTAATGAAGCACATTAGTGCCAAGAACTGGGCACAGAAACCTCCCTTTTAGTGACAGATTTAAGAAAACATTCAACTGTGGCAAAAATGTTGGGGCATTTTACAGACTAGAATACACTTTTTCCGAACCACTTCTAAACTGAGAAATAAAACATGTTAGGGTCCCTCCCTCTCCTTTAAGGAACTCATGGAAAAGCTTTAAGGATAACACTGAAGGCGAAAGAAGATGACCAAAAAAAAAAAAAAAAAAAAAAGTAGAAAATAAAATGCCACAAAAAGAGCTGTGATATGAAAAGGACACCTCCAGAGGCTAAGTCCAAGAGTGAATTTTAGAAAACCATCAATAAGAGCGAGGGCAAGAAACAATCTTTATGGGGGCACCTGGTGGCTCAGTTGGCTAAGTGTCTGCCTTCGGCTCAGGTCATGCTCCCAGGGTCCTGGGATCGTGCCCTGTTTCAGGCTCCCTGCTCAGCGGAAGTTGGCTTCTCCCTCTCCCTCTACTGCTCCCCCTCGTTGTTTGTGCTCTCTTGCTCGCTCGCTCTCTCAAATAAATAGATAAAATCTTAAAAAAGAAAAAGAAAAAGAATCTTTATGGCCTCAGAGGTGAAGTAACATCTAAAGGTGAAACAAGCCGAGGAAAATGTAATTTTTCCTACACCACTAAGACTTAATGAGATGTAACCCTAGTGTTCCTGGGCTTTGGTTTCTTTCACTGAAAAGGAAGATGCTGGATTAGGTCAGTGGTTCTCAAGTCTGTAGTGTGTGTCAGAATCACCTAGAAGGCTTCTTCAAACACGACTGCTAGGCTTCACCCACAGAGATTCAGAAGGTCTGGGATGGGCCCTGAGAATCTGGATTTATAACAAGTTTCCACATGATGCTGAAGGTGCAGGTCTGAGAATCACATTCTGAGAACACTGGCCTGGAAGTTCTCTTCATAGAGGCCGCAGGCCTGAAATTTCTATGATTTTATGCATGTGAATGCCAGGAGAAAATACAGTCCTACTGGTCAGTATGAAAAATTTTAGAAGAATATACAGTCTATCATATGTTTTTTTCCTCCCCCTAATGTAATCTTTATGTCCAACGTGGGGCTCCAACTCACGACCCCATGATCAAGAGTCGAATGCTCTACCAACTGAGCCAGCCAGGTGCCCCCATCATCATACACGTCTTCATAGATGCAAATCTCTATTGGTATTTTTCAGTCTCTAAGATTTATCTTTTATAATGCTTAGCATAGCATAATGCAAGGAGGATCCTTAACTAAATAGTCTTTATTATTTATTTATTTATTTAATAAGATTTTATTTATTTGACAGACAGAGATCACAAGTAGGCAGGGAGGCAGGCAGAGAGAGAGGAGGAAGCAGGCTCCCCACCCAGCAGAGAGCCTGATGCGGGGCTCGATCCCAGGACCCTGGGATCATGACCTGAGCTGAAGGCAGAGGCTTGAACCCACTGAGCCACCCAGGCGCCCCTAAATAGAGTCTTTAGATGATTGTGGTAAGTTTCTCACAGGTTCAAGATCTGATTGGATCAAAGGTGATCTAGAATTAAGAGTATGTCAATAGCTATATAGCTAAGTAATTATATCACTTTCCCCCAGCTTTAAAAAAAAGACTTGAGGGGGCACCTGGGTGGCTCAGTCATTAAGCATCTGCTTTCGGCTCAGGTCATGATCCCAAGATCCTGGGATCGAGCCCCGCATCGGACTCTTTGCTCAGCAGGAAGCCTGCTTCTCCCTCTCCTACTCCCCCTGCTTGTGTTCCCTTTCTCTTCCTGTCTCTGTCAAATAATGAATAAAATCTAAAACAAAACAAAAGCAAAAAACTGAGGATTGTTCTCTGTCTTCTCTGCCCTGGAAGCAGCTCTCCTGCCACAGCCCCTCAACCCCTGAAAATGTCTGCCTGTGCAAGGGTGTCTCCAACTCCTTCTTGGTCAGGAGCACCTCTCGGGTGTTGAGCCAATCACTGTCTGGACCAGCCACTGGAGACACTGACACATGAGAGCCTTGGCGGCTTGGCAGCTCCACATCCCCTGACCTTACTTATCCCTAGCCATAGCTTCCCAACCAGCGCCCTTTCAAGGGGTATCAACATAGAAGTCAAATTCATCGGGGCTGGGGCTGCCACGGTAGGGGTGGCTGGCTCTGGGGATGGAACTGGGACTTTGCCTGGGAGCCCCATCATTGGTTATGCCAGGAACCCCTCTCTGAAGCAATAGCTCTTCTCCTACCCCATTCTGGGTTTTGTCCTCTTGGGGGGCCTTGGGGCTCTTCTGCACGATGGTGACTTTTCTCATCCTCTTCACCATGTGAGGAGCCTTCTCCACCTCCTATGTCTCACCTGCTCCGTACACTCCTTTTCCTATATCTACCCAGGCGCCACCTAGGCTCCCCTATTTATTTATTTACTTACTTATTTTTAAAGTGAATTTGGGGCGCCTGGGTGGCTCAGAGGGTTAAGCTGCTGCCTTCAGCTCGGGTCATGATCTCAGGGTCCTGGTACCCTGCTCGGTGGGGAGCCTGCTTCCCCCACCCCACCTGCCTCTCTGCCTACTTGTGATCTCTGTCTGTCAAATAAATGAATAAAATCTTGGAAAAAAAATAAATAATTAAAAAATGATTTTTAAAAAAAAAGATTTTATTTAAAAAATGATTTTAAAAATAAAATGAATTTAACTTAGGGGCAAGTGACTGGCTCAGTTGGAAGAGCATACAACTCTTGTTTTTTTAAAAGATTTTATTTATTTGAGACAGAGAGAGATCATAAGTAGGCAGAGAAGCAGGCAGAGAGAGTGCTTAAGTGAGAATTCTCAATTTAAACAAAAGGAAAAGGGGAGGGCACCTGGGTGGCTCAGTGGGTTGAGCCTCTGCCTTTGGCTCAAGTCATGATCTCTGGGTCCTGAGATGGAGCCCTGCGTGAGGATCTCTGCTCAGCAGGGAGCCTGCTCACCTCCCCTTCCCTGCCCCACCCCTCTGCCTACTTGTGATCTCTCTCTGTCCAATAAATAAATAAAATCTTAAAAAAAAAAAAAAAGGAGGGACGCCTGGGTGGCTCAGTTGGTTAAGCAGCTGCCTTCGGCTCAGGTCATGATCCCAGCGTCCTGGGATCGAGTCCCACATCGGGCTCC